CCAGCGATGCTGCATGGGAGATACCTGAGGAGGTACAAACACTGGCCAAAATTGGCGTTCAAATTAGTTTTTTGTATTTTTCACACACAAACAAATATTAACGCTAACTTTGGCTAGTGTTTGTGACCAAGTGGCTACTAAAAAAGACTGGACATATACCATTTTCAATACTTTGGGTTGTCTACTATTGCAAATGATATGCCACCATGGGGGTAATTCTCATTCCTGGGCTACCGTACGGTCTCAAAGGCAATGTAACCAATCTGGCGAATTTCAATGTGAAAAAAACTGAAAAATGTAACATGCTATATTTGACCCTGTAACTTTCCAAAACACCATAAAACCTGTACATAGGGGGTACTGTTTCACACGTGAGACATCGCTGAATACAAATATGTGTATTTTATTGCAGTAAAAGCAAACAGTATTATGACATTCACACTTAAAATGTCACGTGGAACTAATAAAATTTGTAAAAATTCGTATTTTCTCCCATTTTTTTATATTTTATTCATATTAAATTATGTTTCCTACCTAAATATTTGATGTTAAATGAAAGCCCTGTTTCCCCCGAATAAAATGATATGTAATAAGTGTGGGTGCACATAATATGAAAGAGGCGAATTACGCCTGAATAGACTTATAGCGCAAATTCCAGGTTTTGTTTACATTTTGATCACAACCTGTACATTTGGCTCAGTCCTTAACCCCTTAACGACGAGTGACGGACGAGGTTCGTCACTCAGGGGATTGCCATAACGACGAGTGATGGACCTTGTCTGTCACCCGTTAAAATTACCCCGGATCGCCGCTATTAGAGGCAGACCGGGAGCACCCGATAGTGCTGCCCCAGCACATGTGCTCGCTCTGACAGCATGTCAGAGCGAGCACATGTGCTTAGTATACTTACCTTCCGCCTCCCTGCACTTCCTGGTTCTGTGTGAAGTGCACGGAGCCAGAACAGTGCTGATCATGCCCCCTGTTAAAAAATAAAAAAATAAAGTTTATTTAAAATCCCACCCCCCCTTTACTCATTTTAATTAAAAATTAACCCGTTCCCTGCCAATTGATCACTGACTACAGTGATCAATTGGCAGGGATTACATTTTACTGACATCTGATTATTTTTTTTTAACCCCTGAGGGTTAATTCTTTTTTTTTTTAACCTTTAGGGGTTACATTTATTTACTTAATTAATGTTAAATATTTAAAAATTATATATTTAGCTAGCTGGGATGGATGGAAGTTAGTGGGGAATTGGGGGATTTGGTGTTAGGCTAACTAGGGGTTAACGTTAGAAGTTTTAAAATAAACTTTAAAAAGTTAAAAATTAAGCTAAAAAAAAAGTTAAAAGTAATAACGTTAAACGTAATAACGTTTAAGTAAGAAATAAAAAAACACCCCCTTTACCCAGTCCAAATAAAAATTAACCCCTTTCCTGCCAGTCGATCACTGCCTACAGTGATCAAAATACAGATCACAGTATTATACTGTGATCTAATTTTTTTTTTAACCCCTGACGATTAACTTTTATTTATTTTTTTTAACCCTCAGTGGTTCAATTTAATTAATTTAAATATTTATAATTATATATTTTGCTAGCTGGGGTGGGTGGGAGTTATGGGAAAATGGGGAATTTACTGTTAGTGCTGCTTACTGCTAGTTAGGGGTTAACGGTAAAAAAAAAAGCTTAGAACATTTTTAAATCTGTAAAAAAAAAATTAATAAGCAAAACAAAAGTTTAAAAACTAGTTTTTAAAAGTAAAAAAAGTTTCAAAAAGTAAAAAAATACATTTAAAAACGCTCATTACCACTACACCTGGAACAAACTATAGAAAAAATGATCCCACGCTAAGGTTCAAAATATGCCTTTTGAATTACCCCAGGGTGTATTCTTTAATAAATAGTTTGTGTTTGTGGGGAAGTTTCAATAACCAACCATGTAAACTACTCCAAATTGGAACATGGACACAGTTTAAAACTTCAAAGTTAGAAAAAAACTGAATGGCTGCATCTCAAATGCGCCCCTTCAGCATCCACATATACCTGGCAAAAGTACATACGGTGGTATTGCTGTACTCAGACGACATAGCTGAGCAACATATGAAGTATTATACAGTCGTAGCACACATAAGGTTTGCAAAATATACTGTGCAAACTTACTTTGTGTGTCAAAAAGGCAGAAAAAACACTTATTACCACTACACTTGGTACAAGCTAGTGGAAAAATTATCCCACGCTAAGGTTCAAAATATGCCTTTTGAAATACCCTGGGATGTCTTCTTTAAGAAATGGTATGGCTGTATGGGGTATTTGGATTATATAGCCTGGTAAAATACTCTATAATGGGACATGGGCACAGCGTAAAAATGTAAAGTTTGAAAAAAACTGGAATGGCTGTGTCCCAAATGTGCCCCTCCGATGTCCACATATACCTGGCAAAGGTACATACGGGGGTATTGCTGTACTCAGCCGACATAGCTGAGCAACATATGAAGTATTATACAGTCGTAGCACACATAAGGTTTGCAAAATATACTGTGCAAACTCACTTTGTGTGTCAAAAAGGCAGAAAAAACACTTATTACCACTACACTTGGTACAAGCTAGCGGAAAAATGATCCCACGCTAAGGTTCAAAATATACCTTTTGAAATACCCTGGGGTGTCTACTTTAAGAAATGGTAGGCCTTTGTGGGGTAGTTTGAATTTAAACCCTGCTAAGATGCTTGGAAATTGCACATAGGCCCAGTCAAAGTTCGGTAAAAACTGATATGGCTTGGTCTCCTATATGGCACTGTAGCTTCATGAAATAGTGCCAAAGACATTCATTGGGGGTGTCTTTTTACTCAGAAGACTTAGCCAAGCATAATTTGGGGGGTTTGAACTTAGTGGCACATGTGAAATATACAAAATGCCCAGAAAAAATGCAATCCATTTGTAAAAAACAGACAAAATTATTTTTTATCACATACTTTAGCATATATTGGTGAAAAAATGGGGGCATGTTAAGGCACAATATGCACCTTATGAGATACCCTGGAGTGTCTACTTTTACAAATAGTAGGCCTTTGTGGGGTTTTTTTGAACAGTTAAACTGGTATGTTTTCTTTTATGGCTATTAAGCGTACATGACAAACATACCAAATTCTAAAATTGCTCCACATTAAAAGTTTATTTTACTCCTTGTGCTTTGTGACCTGTAACTACCAAAAAAAAACTTAAAATCCCAGACACATTATATATTCTGTAAATCAGAACAACTAAATGAATTTATTTTTAATTACTTTCCTTAACCTGCGCTAATTATGCACACATTATTATTGCAAAAACTGTAAAAAAAAAAACACAAACATTTTCATTTTTTTTGCATTTTTCTGTATTTTTTTTATAATAAACAAGCATTTATATATATATATATATATATATATATATATATATATATATGTCTTACATCAAATTAAAGCTCTTTCTGTCCTTTAAAAAACGATATATAATATGTGTCAGTGCAATACATTAGTAAAATGCAAATTGCAGTTGAACGAAAACAGCAAAAAAATGAAAAAAATTATGTTGTCATTAAGTGAAAGACAAGCTTTTGAAGCTCTGTCCTTAAGGGGTTAACTTTGTAAACTATGTTATGCAAGTAACAGTTCTAGTGGACTATATATATACCCCATCTGTAGTAGTTTATGATATTGATTGTTAAACGTTTCCCACCTGCTTGGAAGAGGCAAGAAGATTGCAGTTCAAGAAGTTAAAGTACTTAAATTGCTATAATGCTCTGCAAGGAATTGAAACAATAGCAACACTATAAATTTTCTTCAATGTGCTTGATGCAAAGATATCCTAAACAGTATTTTTTTTTAAATGCAGTTTGTCGTACAGTACTTGCATTTTGGATTATACTGCATTTTCCACTTGTTTAGAACTTTATGTAAATGTCAAAAAATAAATCCACACTATACATGTAGCAAACATGGGCCTCCATTTTATATGTTTAGATAAGCGTTTCACATAATTTAATATTTAAAAAAATAAATAAAAAAATTCAAATGATTTATCAACAGAAGTCAATATTAAAGTCTATAGGAGTTTTGTAAAAAAAAATAATTGAAACGTTTAACCCCCCAAAAATAAATAATTTAAAAAACTTTTCCCCAAAAAAATAAAGCGAGGCTATTGTACCATATTTTGATGTCACATTGGTGCATCTTGCTTAAATCAGGAATGGGTTAGCACACGTTAGGGTTACGTCAAGTTTTAAGTGTGCTGTAATGAACTGGATATTATGTTCCGTGATTCCACCTAGGAAGATACATCTGAATCTAAAGCACTTAAACAGATTTCAGTGTTTATTAAATTAGTATTTACACTGCTTGGAATGTTATTTGATTTATAATTTAACTTGTCTTACAGTTTTAAAATCTGTAGAAATAAATGAAAAATTGGAAGGTGAAAATATTATGCTATCCTATCGAGACAATATGTCTCCTTGGTCAAAAATGCTTGACTTTTTTTGTCAAGTGCTGGCTTCCTCCACACTTAGGAAAGTGATAAATTCAATAAAATATTGATTCAGGGGGGCGGATCTTGGCACTTAAGATGGCCAGTTCTGTTTGCTTATAGCTCTGTCTTTTCGAATCTTTAAAATCGACTAATTTGTCACTAAGCGACGCAAAACCCATCTTATTTTAGCTGCAGACCGACAATTTTCGAGCCTGCATTGTTTTATGCCCTGTTCGTTGTGGACTGAACTGCTTTAAACCAGTTGTGCCAGACAACTGGAGGAAGGGCCGTTCTCCCAACTCTCTGATGCCTGACTGCCTCCCCACACAGTAGCACCAACCTGATCACAGCCACAAGTCCCGATGGGTCCTTAGAAAAGCTGGATTCCTGCTGCACAGGTACCAAGATGACCATTAAGGGGAGGTCTACAGCCAAGCCACTACATACAGCAGGGGCCTTCTGTGAGAAACATATCGCCCAAGCATTTGAGCACCTATGGCAAACACTATGCCTGCAGGCTGAGAAGCACGCAGTGACTGCTGAGGCCAAAACTAGAGCTTCCATCATCTGGAATGAACCACAGCCTGCTATGAGAGGCACTGCAATGGTGCTGATGAAACGGATGTGTTGAAAGTTGCTGTGAAATATATCATCCGCAAGCCTGGTTTTAAAGCTGGCTATTGTCTCCGTCCATGGTCTGAGCGGAGGGAGGTGAGGTGGTTTGCTCCGGGTATAGCAACCGTTCAAACATCTGATTCTCCCTTTATTAGCCCACTTAGGTTGAAGACCTAAGTCAAACCAGCAGCAGAACGTCCGAAGCAAGATCAGGGTTTTCTGCTTTCTCCTATGTGGGAAAGACCCGAACTTTGAGACCCGGACTTTGAGAGCCACCAAGTCCATGGCCTAAAGCATGCACTTGATGCTTTCCAGACATGGAAGTCGGCTAATTGGCGACTAGGCTCCTGACCTATGATATGATATGTAATTTGTTCTCTCGTACCACTTTATTCTAGGGTCACACTACTGTGACTGTGGGACCGGTCTCTGTGGTAATGTCTCTTGTATCTGCCTAGCATTGATTGCATTTACTTTAAACATGTAATAATTTAATGTTATTGCCCACACACTGTTATGTATGTTTGGATATTGTTGTATCATATTTAGCTATGTGTGAATGTCTAGCATATGACAGGTTTATTTTCATGCTTATCCTTCGTGACTATCGTAACCCCTGCTCTCTCTAGATATTATTAACACCCATCACACTATCTAGGGCATTGCTGTTGATTGCATGTTTAGTCTTACAATAAGCTCTAGACATCTATGCATAGCCTGTGTTTGATGTTCATTATTTTACTATAATGTGTGCAAATATATAATTGTTATTTTCTGTTTTTCACTTACCTTGCACCTCCTGTTGGGCATTACAAGAATGTTTGTTATATCATTACATCGCAAAAAAATAAAGATTGACAAAAAATAAATTGTTGATTCAACTTGGTACAGGACACCTGTTTATACTCACACGATCCATAATGCTTCAAGTATAAGAACAAAAGTATTTTTTTAAGTCTGCTATAACCTTGTTGCTGAAAGGCTGCCAAATATTAAAGGAATACTCCAAGAACCATAACCACCAGATTGCAGGGCTTGACTCAGAAGGGCTAACAGAAGTTTATGTGTTGGAATTTCTGGCTCTCCAGTGCAAGTAGTGGAGGTGAGCAATGGCACCTGATGGACGTCAAGTAAGACATCAAACTATTCAAAAAGGGTATGACTACATACAATGGGTGCACAAGGGCAATCCTGGCTCCATAACCACTACAGGAAGCTGAAATGATGTAAGATGAGGTAGCAAGTCATCTTAATGGAAAAAGCCATTAGAAAATAGGTAGCTGTTGGCCATAAAGGGCATAGAAACATAGAATGTGACGGCAGATAAGAACCATTCGGCCCATCTAGTCTGCCCAATTTTCTAAATACCTTATAGCTTTATGCCTATCCCACGAATGCTTAAACTCCTTTACTGTGTTAACCTTTACTGTGTTCTACCACTTCAGCTGGAAGGCTATTCCATGCATCCACTACCCTCTCAGTGAAGTAATACTTCCTGATATTATTTTTAAACCTTTGCCCCTCTAGTTTAAGACTATGTCCTCTTGTTGTGGTAGTTTTCCTTCTTTTAAATATGGTCTCCTCCTTTACTGTGTTGATATCCCCCCTGTCTCGTCTTTCCTCCAAGCTATACATGTTAAGATCCATTAACCTTTCCTGGTAAGTTTTATCCTGCAATCCATGAACCAGTTTAGTAGCCCTTCTTTGAACTCTCTCTCTAAAGTATCAATATCCTTCTGAAGATACGGTCTCCAGTACTGCGTACAATACTCCAAGTGAGGTCTCACCAGTGTTCTGTACAATGGCATGAGCACTTCCCTCTTTCTACTGCTAATGCCTCTCCCTATACAACCAAGCATTCTGCTAGCAACAACATTTGGAGAAGCTGTGGCATTTAAATTCTGCTCAGTTGGTACTGTCAGGATCCTAAACTGACAATCAAGGATTATGTTTCTTTTATTTCTGTTTCTTTAATAACAAGTTATAGTTTCCCACCACTAGTGGCCTACGGCCTACCTAACCACTAGACCTGAACTTACCTTCATCATCCTCACCTGCCTGGACTAATTACAAATCCTACAAAAGGCTACACCCTGCTCAGTACAAGGCCTTTACAATGAACTTGATGGTCAACCAGAAAGACTTCTGTTCCTGGTTCCTGTAATCATACCTATGGACTTACCTTCTTTGCTACCTTCTTATTGAAAACCAATGTGATCTACCTTATCATCCTTTTGTTACCAACCTGCTCCATTCCAACCTGAACTACGCTACTAACCTGCTTTATACATCCCTGATCTACACAATCAACCTGCTCTATACCAACCTGCATAACACCAACCTGAACTTCATTACTAACTACACTGAACAAAATTATAAACACTCCACACAATCTTGGAGGTGATGATGCTGGATGTGAAGGTCCTGGGCTGGTGTGGTTACACGTTGTCTGCGGTTGTACGGTCGGTTGGATGTACTTCCAAATTCTCTGAAACGCCTTTGGAGACGGCTTATGGTAGAGAAATGAACATTCAATTCACGGGCAACAGCTCCGGTGGACATTCCTGCAGTCAGCATGTCAATTGCACGTTCCCTCAAAACTTGTGACATCTGTGACATTGTGCTGTGTGATAAAACTGCACATTTTAGAGTTTAGGGAATAAGATCCATGAACTTGTGGCAATAATGGCAAGTGATAATGTAGATTTAGTCACTGTTACTGAGACATGGTATAATGAGAAAAATGATTGGGATATAGCTCAATACAGTGCTACTCTTTATATAAAAAAAGACAGGGAAGGCAAGAAAAGGTAGGGGTGGTCTATATGTAAAGGATAGCATAAAATCGAGCCTAATAAAAGTTAGCGAGGAACATAGAGTCTCTTTGGGTTACGTTAAAATTTAGTAATCACAAAGTAACTTGTGTAGGTGTGATTTATAGGCCTCCAGGACAAATAGAAGAGTTATATAATCTACTAGTTGAGGAAATAGCTAAAATGACAATGAAGGGGGAAGTTATCATTATGGGTGACTTTAATCTTCCTGATGTGAACTGGAAAACCAAAATAGCTGCTTGTGCCAGGAGCACACATATTATAAACTCCCTACTGGGATTGTCTCTAAAACAAGTCGTTGAGGAGCCAACTCATAAGGAGGCCATACTAGATTTAGTGTTTACAAATGGAGATTTGGTATCAGATATTACTGTAGGTGAAAGTTTAGGATCCAGTGATCATCAGTCAGTGTGGTTTATTATAAGAACAGTGACTAACACCACACAAAAACAAAAGTTTTAAACTTTAGAAAAACAGACTTTTCTAAAATTAGAATATGTGTAAAGGAGTCATTATCAGACTGGAGCAATTTAAATGGAGAGAGAAATGTGATTATTTAAGAGCTTCCAAATCACACACAGAAGAAAAAATAGCACAGTCAGTAAGAAAGGGAACATAACATTTTTTAGATACATAAATGAGAAAAGGAAAGTAAAACAAGGATTAGTTAGATTAAAAACAATAGAAGAAAGGTATGTAGAAGAGGATAGATGTCTAGCTGACTGCCTCAATGAATATTTTTGTTCAGTATCTACAGATGAAAATGAAGGAAAGGGGCCTCAGTTAGGAAAAAGGACAAATGAGTCATTTGTTACATGTGAGTTTACAGAGGAAGAGGTTCTATTTCAACTGTCAAAAGTAAAGACCAATAAGTCAATGGGCACTGATGGAATACACCCAAAGTTATTAAAAAGAGCTTAGTGGTGTACTAACAAAACCATTAACATATTTATTTAACCAATCATTGTTAATAGGATTAGTCCCAGAAGATTGGAAGTTAGCGAATGTTGTGCCCATTCACAAAATAAAAAAAGGTAGTAGGGAGGAGTCAGGCAACGGTAGGCCAGTAAGCCTTATTTCAGTAGTGGGGAAAGTAATGGAAACCATGTTAAAGGATAGGATTTTTGAACATCTAAAATCACATGGATTTCAAGATCAGAGACATCATGGGTTTACTTCAGGGAGATCATGCCAAACTAATTTTATTGATTTTTTTTGACTGGGTAACTAAATAATAGATCAGGGTGGTGCAGTAGACATTGCTTACCTAGATTTCAGTAAGGCTTTTGACACTATTGCACATAGAAGGCTTCTTAATAAACTGCAATCTTTAAAGCGGCACTGTCATGCCGAATTCTGTTTTTTTTTTAACCCCCCTCCCGCCTCCACTACATCCAATTGACCCACTAGTCACCCCCAAATGCCCCTAAGCCCCCCACATTACCTATTTTTAAATCTTTATTTTCTGCCCCGATCTATATTCAGGGCGCCGCCATCTTTGTGTGGGTAGGTGAAGTCCCTCAGGGACACGTCATCAGCCCACACTAGACAGACTGTGAGATTCCCGCACATGCCCAGTGAAACACCTGGACATGCGAACGGGAATTTCATCTATTCATTCATTCATCAGACAGACGAATGAGTGAATAGAAAGATCAGCCGAACAAACAAACACAATGTATCAGTGTATCTGTGTATCAGTGTTAGTTTGTTCGTGCAGGTTATTACAAGGAGGGAGCTACCGGCGTGCAGCTCCCTCCTTGTAATATGTAACTATAGAAGCGGCAGGGAGCAGTGCTCCCCACCACTTCATAAGCCCCCCCAGGTCCCCCCCTCACTCTATGTGGGTCAATATGACCCCCATAATAGCACAAGGGAGATAAAAATCTCCAAAATGCCCCTACTCGCTATACCGCGAGTAGGGGCATGTCCACTAAACAGTGAGCAGCCTGTGGCTGCTCACTGTAAAAAAACAACAACAAAAAAAAACAACTATTGGCCCCCACCCCTAAACAGTGAGAATGAGGGGGGCAGTACTCCCCCCACCCCTGGGCGGCGGGTGGGGGCCATAATGAGAATGGGGGGGGGACCTACTATCCCCCCCGGCCCCCACCCCTGGGCGGCGGGTGGGGGCCATATTGAGAATGGTGGGGGGACCTACTGCCCCCCCCCCGGCCCCCACCCCTGGGCGGCGGGTGGGGGCCATAATGAGAATGGGGGGGGACCTACTGCCCCCCCCCCCGGCCCCCACCCCTGGGCGGCGGGTGGGGGCCATGAAGATAATGAGGGGGGGGGACCTACTGTCCTCCCCCCCCGGCCCCCACCCCTGGGCGGCGGGTGGGGGCCATATTGAGAATGGGGGGGGGACCTACTGCCCCCCCCGGCCCCCACCCCTGGGCGGCGGGTGGGGGCCATGAAGATAATGAGGGGGGGGGACCTACTGTCCTCCCCCCCTCGGCCCCCACCCCTGGGCGGCGGGTGGGGGCCCTAAGTCAATTACCCCTCCCCCCCAAGGTGACTAGGGGTCCCCAAGCCCCTAGTCACCCACCCCCCACCCAAAAAAAACAAGTCCCTACCTACCCCCCTCACCCTAAAAAATAGTGAGGGGGGGATAAAATAACTAACCTGTAAAATAAAATTAAACTTACCATTCGACGCCTTCTTTTTTCTCAAATCTTC